TTCATATGGTGGGACCCCATAGAGAGGGTTAATGAAAAATTTTTAATGTTTTCTATTTGTTTCTGAGAGAGAGACAGCATGAGCAGGGGAGAGTCAGAGAGAGAGGGAGGCACAGAGTCTGAAACAGGCTCCAGGCTCTGAGCTGGCTGTCAGCGCAGAGCCTGATGTGGCGCTCGAACCCATGAACCGTGAGATCATGACCTGAGCTGAAGTAGGACGCTCAACCAGCTGAGCCACCCAGGCGCCCCTTTGAATGTTTTTGAACAATTGTGAAGCCTTCCTAGTCTGCCTTCTTTGTCACAAATATGGCCTTTGTGTTTCTTCTACATGCAAAAATAAATACGCATCCTTCCCAGGGGAGACCACCCAAATGACCCATCTAATCATGGCATCAGGGCCAAGAGCAGGACCTCTAATAGTCTGTATATCAGGTCCAGAGGTGGCTTCTCTTGATCCAGAGACCTAATAACCCCAAAATCCTCAGCTCCCTCCTCTTCCTCACAAGTTATCTCTGCCCCCCCCACACACACATTCAACATATGAAGTGGAACAGAGACAGGATAATGGCAGTAAACACTCCCATTTAGAAAGAAGAATGAGAGGGGCACCTGGGTAGCTCAGCTGGTTAGTGTCTAACTCTTGAATTTGGCTCAGGTCATGATCCCAGAGTCATAGTATTAAGCCTCGTGTTGGGCTCCACACCGGTGTGGAGCATGCTTGAGAGTCTCTTTTGATCTCCCTCTGCCCCTCCCACCACGCCTTGCATGCAGGCACTCTTTTTCTCTCAAACTAAATAAATAAATAAATAAATAAAATTAGAAAGAAGAATGAGAGGCACACAGCACTTACTGGCCCATAGTAATTCTAATACCTTGCTGAGCAGATGCTGCAAAGGCCCCCCACCTTTTCCTGAGAGTGGAACTGCTTTCTGAGACTAATTCCCTAGTTCCCATTAAGTAGCTCATCTGTTCCCATTTATTCTCCTTGGCCACATTTGAGAAAACATTGGAAGTTATGCCCTTTTGAAGCAAAGCAGCTTTCGGTCTCCTTCATGGCCATAGATATTTGGGAGCCCTCAAGGTCTTAAACACAAATCCATGCTAGTGGCTTTTTGTGAGGAAGGAAAGAGGCTTCTTATCTATTTGATTCCAGTCAGTTGTGGGCCAAATGCCAAACCTACCAATTCTTCTCAGACATGCCTCTCTCTTTAGACTTAATTGTAAGCAAATGGAGCCTACTAACTCCTTTGGGAGAATTACACTCTTAAACTCTCTTCTCTGAACCATCTTGACTAACTGAAAGGTTTTATTGGGAACTACTCTGACCAATTCAGAGGTTTTTACAAAAGGCATGAAAGCCAAACACTTGATATGACCCTTACCACAAAGATGAGTTTTAATCAAACCTTGTGGCTTAAGGGCCTTGTCAGTTGTATCTTTCACTGGTTAAAAATGCAGATCACCTGCCCAGGAGTTTCTATATTCTCTTTCATTTCTGCTTAAAAACTGGCCAATTAATGGGGCGCCTGGGTGGTTCAGTCAGTTAAGCACCCGACTTCGGCTCAGGTCATGATCTCACGGTTTGTGGGTTCAAGCCTCATGTGGGGCTCTGTGCTGACAGATAGCTCAGAGCCTGGAGCCTGTTTCAGATTCTGCGTCCCCCTCTCTCACTGACCCTCCCCTGCTCACCCTCTCTCTCTCTCTCTCTCTCAGAAATAAATAAAAACATTAAAAGAAAAACTGGCCAATTACTTTCTGGGTCATCTCTTTCTTACAATAACTTGTCAAATGCATCCAAAAGCAATCAAGGTATGCTCCTAATATTCTTTCTCAAATTTCCCCCTCCCCAAAAGCCCCAAGCTCATTTGGATATCGTTTATATTCTTAGTTATTTCCAGCTTACAGTTTAACCAAATGCTTTGCCACTGCCTAACGCATGTCACCATCTTTCCAACTTTCACTGATGGTTTCCTCATCAGCCACTGCCCAGCTCCAAAGCCAATGCCACATAATTCAGGTTCATTTTTAATGTGGTAGTACGCCACTTTTGGGTACTAGTTCTGTGACAATTGGTTTAAACTTACTCTTACTCTTTTTTTTTTTTTAGACTTATTCTGATATGACAACTACTAGCCTCCAAATACCAGTGGTTCACAGCAAGTGGGAAAAGAAAAGGCAAGCTGCCAGACTACTTGCTGGTACTTAAAGCTTCTATCTGGAAGTGATACTTTACATTTCTACTCACATCCCATTGGCCAAAGCAAGTCATATACCCAACCCTATTGTTAGTAGGGCATGAATGTCTACAGTTCTACAGTGAATGGTCTAGCAGGAACGACAGGGTATATTCAGAACAATGATACAATCTATCAGAGGGCCACACCAGAAATGTCAATCACTGAGCTCCTCCACTCCTCCTTCATACACACTCTGCTGCACTGTTTTGTACCAGGTAACACTTCACATACATCTTGGTCAAGGGTAAAGTCTTGATTCCAGGTAGATAATTTATGTAGGCTGGTCAAAGTAGCCTGACCCGGACCAATCGGGTTTCTTTTCCTGGTAATTTGAACCATGAAATATTGAGTGACAAATGAATGAGATGATAAGTGGGGAGATCTAGAGCTGAAAAGTTATGCTGCAAGATGGATTTGGAAAAGCCCCACTCAACCAAGACCCTGTGCTCTGAACAGCAGGCAAGACAGGATTTCAGTGCAAAACCTGCCTTTCCCTCCTCGTTCAGCTCAGTTTTCCCCAGGAGAAGGTATCCTCAAGAGAGTCACCTTGTGGATTTTCACTGGAGTGAAATCTCCAGTGCATGGGCCCACCTGACTGCAAGATCTGCCCCCAAACTTGCCACTCACCTGTTCAGCACCCTTCCATGTGTCCCCTAGCCCACAGGAAAAGTCCAAACTAACGGGCCGGCATCTGAGGCCTCACTCGGCCATCTAACTACCTCTTTCGGGAGGTTCTGCACAGCTTCCTGGGTGAGACAGAGAGGTAAACAGGCTTTCAGGGGTGGCGCCGTCCAGCAAAACCAATCAGAAGTCACATACCGCACACGGATACCCAGCTGCGTAGATGTGACAGTCCCTGTACTGGTCTGATAGTCTCCTACCGGATCCCAGTAGGTGCCACAGGTCGTGCAGTTTTCCTCTGAAGGCAGAAAGGTGAGTGGGCGGGAAAAGGCGAACAACAGGACAGGGTTCCGCTGAAGATGCAGGCCGCAGGGGAGGAGATGGAGAATTAGGGAAACCCAGAGGCCCCATATTCAAATCAGTCTTCAACTGGGGCAGGATCCACCCTGCCTCGCAGTTTTCCCATTGAGTGGACATCCAGATTGTGTTTGCACACCTTTCTTGTAGAAGTCTAGGGCTTCATCTGTACACAGAACACAGATGATCTCAGGCAGGATGAAGGCATGGGCACCCTCCCAGACTTGCGCGGCGGCCCAGTTCAGCGACTAGGAAGGACCCAGCCACGCCTTCTTGGATGAAGTCCCAGACTCACTACCCCTGCCAGACTCTCGCAAGCCCGCAAGCCCGTGCCCCTCCGCTTCTTTTAGAGGTTTGATCATGCCCCCTACGCCCTGTGATCCAATCACTTTTGGGTGCAACTGAGGACTCACCGAGGCCCCTCGCATATCAGTATTTGGTTAATTGTCGCTTAATACTGCAGGACGTCCTACAGACCAATCCGGATGCGCTTTAGGAACAACATTTAGTTCCGTTGGCCAATCGTTTTCCAATTCCCACAAGGCCACGCCCCCTACACTCCGAGCCAAGCTTAACGCTCCGACCTGGACCTGATGCAGAAGCCTTGCAACAGCTGCGCCAGGGTCACTTTAGGTCCACTGGGAGGCGCTGCAGGCGGGCGCCGAGGTGGATGGAGGCAGAGCAGGCAGGGGTCACCAGGGCCTAATCCCGCCCTCTGGCTCCTCCCCCAGCCCAGTCCAGGGGCAGGGACTGAGACTGCACCGAGGGACACACGTCCAGCCCTTCCATGACTCGCATCACCCTGGCAACTACACGTGCGCAGCCGAAGCAAGAGGTACTTTGGCCAGATGGGCTGGGCAAGGGCAGCTTGGAGCAGCAGCGACGACAGCAGCAAGGACCTGTGGGATCGAAAATGGGATGGGACGGGGCGTCTGGAACCCAGCCCCCAGAACTTGGTTGGGGTCAGGCGCCGCCCCACTCCAACCAGGCTTCAGAGACAGAAGTCAGCTTACCCCAGAAGCTAGGTTTCTAGGGACGGGTGCCACGCCCAGCTCCAGAAACTAGGCTCGGGACTCAGTACTCTTAGAAATTTAGAGCTGGGGTCTGGAGTTTAGGTGCCTCCAGAAACCAGGTGTCAGGCTCTTCCGACTCTTCTGCTGCTTCAACTACATAACCACATAGAAACCAAGTGTGCTGATCTAGAGTCACTGGCTCTCTAAGCTAAATTCCTTGTCAAAGCCTATGCTTTTCTGCTGGGCATAGGGCTGCTCCTTCTGCCTAGCAACCTGTCTGCTTCTTCCCATAACTGGCTCCTCCTCATTTAAGGTTCCACTCAAATGTCGCCCCTTCTGAGACAGGCCTTTCCCTGTTCACTGTATCTGAAGCAACAGCTTCAATTACTCATGGTGCTTCTTTTTAGCCTCCGGAATGCCCACCGGTGTGTGCCCCCCCCTCCCCCCCCTTTAAATCTCACCTGTATCCCAGCTTCACTGCTTTGGTGTTAGGTACTCACAGTGAGTCTTTCCCCAGGAACAATACTGAGCCAGATGTGGGTGTTACCCTCTCCCTGCCCCCCACCTGTTCCTATGGGATAGTAGGAGGGCAGTACCAGCTTGCTGCAGTCACAGCACCTGACCAGTCTGATGTGAGTCTGCCTGGGCTGGGCCTGGTCCCAAGGATGGCCAGGAAAACGGGAGGCTGGATACCTGGAGGTCCTGGGGGAGCCCTTCCAGGAACACACATGCACAGGGGAGTCTCCAAGCTCTTTTTTTTTTTTTTTTTTTAATTTCTAAACAAAACCATGTGTTCCAGCCAAACAGGACACTGCAGGCTCTCTCCCAGGCACTGTGGCCTGAGTGGGGAAGCCCCCATGAATGAGCGGCTGCCAACCCCAGAAGAACTGTCTGCCCCTCTGCACAGGGCCAGTGTGAGGAAGGGGGTCCAGCTGGAGGCTCTGTCCTGCCCTCCCCCCTCAGCTGCTGGGAGAGAAGGCAGACCTGGGTCCCTGGTGCTCTTAGTGCCTGCAAGGGAAGGAGGGAGAACAGGGTCTGAGGGGAGGAGGAAAGGCTGGCGCCTGGGATGAGGCAGGCCGGGGGGCAGGCCCACAATAGCTCACCAAGAATGTGCGATGTTCTCAAACCAACGTGGAGACACCAATGATCACTGCCACAATGAGGACAGTGACAGACACACAGATGGCGATCAAGACTTTTTTCTGTGGGAGAGGAGGAGTTCAGAGAAACTCAGGAGGGAAGGGAGGGCCGCTCAGGGGCTGGGATGGGACAAGAGGGGCGAGGAGGCTCACCTTCCGCGCCTTCTTCTGGTTTTCCAGGGCCATCTTGACATGTTCCTGCCCCCGTTCCACATAGTCTGCAGAGCTCAGAATATTCTTCTCAATCCGGTTGATCATCTCCCCCTGCTCGGAAGAGGGGGCTGTTCAGGCAGGTGGGGATAACTGGGGGCGGAGGGCCCAGCAGCTCCTGTTTGCTCACCCTAGACCCCAGGTGCCTGAAGGACATTTTCTGGCAGAAAACACTGCTCTAACAAAGGTGTGGGGGCAGGACCACATGTGACAAAAGTTCACATCCTAAGGGTGGCTTCCAGGCCCCCACTTATCATGTGGTCCCTTCTGCCCTGCTCCCTTACCCCATACAACGTTCATCTGCAGTGGTGGCTTGCAGCCAAGTGCCTTAAGAGGCTCACACCTTTTCACAGAGGGTGGATTTTGTCCCATCGTAAATCTGTTTGAGTTTGCCCATTCTTCTAAGGCCTGCCTCTCAACAGATGTGAAGCCCTCCCGATCCCTGCCTCCTCATCCCTGCCAGCCTTCACGTCCTGGTGCTCCTACTGAATGAAATCCCTTCTCCACGACTCCCAGCTGCACAAGGGCACTGGCTGCAGCACTAGTGAGTCAGCTCCTCTGGGACAGCGCTGGAAGCTTCCCTCACCCCAAGCAACCAGGGGGAGGGGAAAAGCACCACCTCCCACCCCGACCTCATACAGATTTGAGGACAAAGGCTCTCTAAGGGACAACTTTGACTGGAGCTCTTAGAGGTATAAAGGTGAATTCTATTGGTGGCGGAGGAGCCAGGGTTGGGGCCATACCTGGGGTGGGCTCAACTGGTGGATAGGGTGAGATGCTGCATATAGAGGAGTGGCATCTGGGTAACTGTGGAGGTGGAAGTAATTCTGGGGCATGGCTCAGGATGGAAGTAAGAGCCAGCCTGGGGGCATGGCCCAGCCTGGAGGAAGATAAAAACCTCAGGGAGAGAGGCTTAAGGGTGGAGGGGGTGCTGACAGTCACAGCCGGGGTTCTTTTTTTTTTTTTTTTTTAAATGTTTATCCATTTATTTTTGAGAGAGAGAGAAAGAGAGAGACACACACAGAATCTGAAGCACGGGTTCTGAGTTGTCAGTGCAGAGCCTGACACGAACTTGAACTCCCAAACCATGAGATCATGACCTAAGGCAGTCAGATACTTAACCGACTGAGCCACCTAGGCACCCCCACAGCTGGGGTTCTGACTGAACATGGTCTCATGTCCTGGGGCTAGGTCTCAAGCCCAGCCAGCTATCCTGGGTGCCCACCTGCATCTCCACTTCAGTAGCCAGGAAAGTGAAGATCTCATGAAGTTCACGGATACTGCGTTCAAGCTGCTGGATCTCACTGTGCCGGGCTGAGATCTCATTTAGGGCCTGTCGAGTCACTTGTGTGTCCTTCAGTATCTGGGGAGTGGACAGCAATGGACGGATGGGTCACAGGAAAACCAGCAGCAGGTGAGACGTTCCTGTTGGCAGTTCTTCAGGCAGCCCTTGGGCTTAGAACTGGGGCTAGGGCCCTGATGAGTGACTCTAGGCATGTGAATTCGTCCCCCACGGGGCCTCAGTATTCCCCCAATCAAAAAGGGCCAGGCCTCAGAGAAGATGGGAATCCCAGAAGAGGGAGCAGGCTGTGGCCACTCACATTGGACACAAACACCTCACTTTGCCCACTGTCCAGCATCTGCTCCAGCTCTTCGTCAGACACCATTCCAGCATTTGCTGCGAAGGAAAAGGCCAGGCTCAGAGCTAGGTTGGGTTACCTGACCCTGCGGGCCAGACACCACAACTCACTGATCTTCAGCTGCCTCCGAATCCGCTCCACATTCTTCTCCCGGTATTCCGACTGCATCAAGTTGCACTTGTTGATGAGATCCACGAATTGCTGGGACAGGACCCCATGCTAAGGATGGAGAACACAGGCTGGGCACCCCGGATCTGGCCTCAGCATCCCCATGAGTATAGCAAGCAAACAGCATAAACACAGGTGCCTGTGACCTTAACCACCCTTCTCTCAAAATAAAAGCCAAAACCCTTACCAAGGCTTACAAGGCCATATATGACCTTCCCTTCTCCCATTTCCCCTCTGACCTTATCTCCCCCAGCTGTTCCCCCACTCACTCCCTCCAACCACACTGGGCTCCTTACTCCTCCCCCGCCAAAGCCACTTCCACCTCAGGCCTTTGCACTCACTGCTCCTTGGTCCTAGAATGTTTATGCCCCGCAGAAGTCTTTGTGTCTTTGTTCCAGTATCACCTTCTCAACAATTTTCTTTTGAACGAAGTTTTCTTACCTTATTAAAACTGCAGCCTGCCTTCTGCTGGCACTCTCAATCCCTTTTCTCCTCAATTTTTTCCCTTAACTAGGTTCTAAAATAGCGTACTTCTTTATTATGATGTTTGTCTCTCCCCACCAGAATGCGAGCTCCCTGAGGATAGGGATCTTTGGTTCACTGCTGGGTCTCAAACAGCTAGAAGAGAGTCTAGCACACAGTAGACACTCAAGAAATACCTGTGAATGCTTGCTGCTGAACACAAGCCTCACTGCTTAGACTAAAGGTGTGCCAGTATTCCCGGACGTCAGCCTATTGCCCAGATATTACAGGTCCAGCTGGGCCCTCAGCCTCTCACACCAACGACCACCACAGCCTCCTCCTGAAACATCCTCTCACCTTGTCCATTGCCCTGCTGCCTTCCGTGCGCTCATTCCTTGGAGCTGCTTCCTCAGAAACATATCTGCTCTCCAACCTTCAGCTGCACCCTTGCAAGATGCCCAAACTGCTCTATCTTCAATCTGGGGTCCTTGCTGAGCCCTGGGCCCACCTACTCCAACTCTGGTCTCCAGGAACTCCAAACCACTCCTCGTTGGGTACCCAGAGAGGGGGCATATACGTCACCTCAAATCTTAGGAGTTGATAAGATGTTGATTCAGTGACTTTCCCCTTCCGGGGAAGTTCCTCTTCCTGACTTCTTGAATTTTGCCCATGGGGTAGAGGATGTTCCTGTCACATGGGCAGGAAACCTCCCACTCATTTATGACTGTAGCCTCTTCTTCCCTGGGCAGGAATATTAGCTACCAAACCCTACCTGAGTAATGTCTTTGTCACCTATTCAAGATTGACTCCCCATCTTGGTTTCTAGAAAGCATGGCTTCTGCAGCCAACATGGCCCCAGGCATGATCTGGGGACCCTGCAACTTCTCATTGAATGGAGAAGGCAGCAGGATATTAGGAGGACTGGGAGTCAGGAGACCTTGGGTCTTGACCTTGGGTGAGTCTTTTCTTTCTCTCAGCCTCAGTTTCCCCATTTGAAAGTCATCAGGTTGGACTTGATGATCTCTAAGGGAACTTCCTTCTTACTTCTGCCACCTAATGATCTAGAAACACTGCAAAATCTCCTAGTTCTGGGAATAACAAACCTACCTGCGTTTTTTTCATCCTTGTGTTGACTGAGTTATAATTCTCATCAGCTTCCTCCTTCTGGGGTTCTATGGCTGCGGGAAGACACAAGGTATTGATGGGCAAGGGGGTTTGACCTGTAGCTTCAGAAAATCATGTGGGGACCAGGACACAGGGCCAGGACCATACCCCATCCAAACAAGAGAAAAGTGCTTGTCTCCACGAGATTCTTTTGGGAACTATAATTTATCATAAATGACTAATTCTGACCCTCTGATGGGAGAAAGTATCTTTTTCTTTGCAGTACATCAGAGAATTTCCAAAAGTATGCAGAGGCCTCTTGACAAACTCCTGTCTGCCTGTCCAAAGAATGCACATTGGGTAGCAGGAATTGTAGGAGTAAATGCTTTCCTTACAAATAAAGGAGCTCAAGAGGCAGGCACGTGCTGCGGAAAATACTATGGACTGGAAACCAGGAGACAAAGATTCTAGGGCTAGGCCTGCTGTGTGGCCTGGGCATATCACTGGCCTCTCTGGGCCACAAACCTCCCAGATATACCAGGAGCTGGGCAGGACCACAGGGAAGGATCTGTCTGAGGTCCCAGAAGCTCACCTTTCAGCTGCGCTCGGATCTCCCTCCCCAGCTGTTTGATTTCATCACGCAGGTTCTGCAGGTTCTGCTTCATACCTGAACAAGAGAAAGCCAGGACTCCCAAACCGCAGCCCCCATCTCAACAAACCTCCCTGGCCACCACCTGCATGGTACTACAATCCCCACAATCCCTCTGGCTGAGCAAGCTTTTGCGCTTGGGGTTTCACTCACTCTCCTCGGGAAGGGGCGTGGCCAGGATGGTGACCTGCTGCTTCTCCAACTCTCGGACTTTATTCTCCAGCTTGACAATAGTCTGTCGAATTGTCCGGACCTGAGGAAGGTGACCAGGAGGGCTGAAGGAGATATGGGGGTACTCCAGACCGCGCTGCTCCTCGGGTCATCGAGCCCCCTCGCGAAGGCAGGCCGAGACCCCAGCCTCTTACCTTTTGGAAGAACTCCTCGTCCGGGCTCCCGAGCCGTGCAGTGCCCGGGTGTACCACCAGCGCGACCCGCTCCTTGTCCTCATCGTCCGAACTGTCATCCCCCTGCCAGGGCCGGGATTACTGGCATCACTTGCCTGCTGTTGCTTTCCCCGAAGGACTCACGGACTTCCGGGTCTGTCCTTCCTAGCCCTCAGCCACCCCTCCCTGCCCCGAAGACCAGGAGTCCTGTATTCCAGCCAGACCCCAGCCCGTCCGCCCGTCCCCAACCTTGCAGCCCCTACTTCTCACCTGCCTCAGTTCGTGGGTCCTGTCGCGCATGGCGGCCCGAGCTCCCTTCCCCGGCGCCGGAGACCCGAGGGCCTCAAGACTAAGTTTGGAAGTCCCGTACCCCACTCACACTCTGACACTGACACTGCCCTCCGCCCTCACCCTGCGGACCCCCAATCTCCCCACGAGCCACCAGAGGCTCTGTGCCAGGTACCATCCACAGTCTATGGGAAGAAGCCGACCTCGGGGACCCCCCAAGATTCCACAGGTTGGAATTCCCTTTTCTTTCCCCCCCTCCCGCTCCCGTAGCCTCGGCCCCGCCCCTCTGGGATGATCGGGGCATGCGCATGGGGTCGCGTCTCTTCCTCGCCCGAGGGAGAGGCGGAGGTCGGAAGCTGTAGCGCCCCGAACGGAAGCAAAGCTGCCAGGACGTGAGAACCCGCCCCCTTTGCCGGAACTGTCGCATCTTCCAACGGAAATCTAGTTGCCAAACCGGGTGGGAATGCGTCATTGGTACGTAATCTGAGAGGCCCTGCATCTCACATCACCCCATGGTGCCCCTCCCCCCGCGTCACATGACCGGTCCGGTCCACCCTCGAAGACCACAGAACGTGACGCTTCGATTGTCACGTGTCGCGGCGCTGTCGACTCAGTCTCTGGAATATCCTTCCTCCCTGCGAAGTCCTCGGCACCCCGGCGCCCAAGCTACGCCCCTCCAGCCCCCACGAAACGAGGAGGGGGCGGCTGACTATCCTCAGAGACCCTTTGAGGCAGTGGGTGGTAGGACCCTTGCTGAATTCTGTTTTCTTTTGCGCCCAGGGGCGTGGGCAGACAGAGAACTTAGGATTCCGGGCTATCAGCATCATGAGACCTTGAAATTCAGGAAATAATAAGATCCAGCGTCATAGAATTGCAGGGTTTTGTAGACAGAAAATCTGGGGGTGGAAAGTGACCTCACCCAAGACAGAAATCTCTTCTCCCGCATACTCCTGGCTCAGCTTCTGACAGGTGGGCGGCTGGCGCCCAGCTTGAACACTGCAGTTCCGCTGCACTCACCACCTTCTGAGCCTGAGACCATTTCAGGGCAACTAAAGCTGAGGAAAGTGTCTGTATTATATTGAGCCGTCTGCCTCTTACATCTCCCTACCTAGCATCAAGGTCTACCCTCTGAAGCCCACAAAAAAAATCTGCACACATTCCACATTACAGTGGACTGTGAGCTCTTGAGGTCAGGGCATGACAGTCTCGTTCTTACCTGAATCTCCAGTGCCTAGTTCAGTATGTAGCACAGATGGGCCCTCAGTAAATATCTGTGGACAGACCTTTAGCCTTTCATGTATCTGAAGATAAAACTGGTGGTTCTTGTGTTTCAGGCTTCAGCCTCTAATGGTGACACCTAACCCCTAGATGGTATTCATTCAATGGATATTTATTGGGCACTTATTATGGGCCAGTGATCTTCTAGGGATTGGAGATAAATCAGGGCCTTGGAGATAAATCAGGGCCTCACAGACAAAAATCCTTTCACTTGTGGAACTTACATTATAGGAGGAGTCCCCAAGGCCATTCAGTGAGTCTCAACATAGCCAGAATAAAAATCAGGTCTCCTGGATTCCAGTGTTCTTCACAGGGAACTTACATGACGGTTTAAGCCAAGGAAGGAATGGCCTCTATCTAGTATGCCCTGATAAGGAAATCTACATTCCTGTGACTGAGTTGTTGACTTCTGGAAAGTCACTTCTTGTCTCTGGGATTCAGTCTCCCATCTGTACAATGGGTGGTATAGAGGGATGGGGAGATAATCTCTATGGGTATTCCCTAGTCTAAAGTTCATGGATTATTGGGTTGGAAACTGTAAAATACTATCTGATTCTACTGGAAGGGCTTTGATCCTTCTCTTCCCTCAGAACCCAGCTCACCTGAGTTTGGGAATGAAGGAGTGAAAATGGTGCTGCACTGATCAACCCACAGGAGGAATAAAGTGTTGGAACGTTTTTCAGAAGGCCAAGCCCTGCCCTGCCCTGCCCTGTGGGGTCCCTTGGAGATCATGAGGAAGGATCTCTCCATTCTTAGGTCTTGTATATCAGTCCCTGCTTCCCTTCCTCCCTCCCCTTCCCTTCTGTCTGTCTCTCTCTCTCTCTCTCTCTCTCTCTCTCTCTCTGTCTCTCTCTCAGTGGGGCAGTGGATGGGCTTTTGGACATCTAACTCCTAGTCCTGCATGTGATCTTGAATAGCTCATTGCTCCTCTCTGATACTTAATTTCTTCATTTGACAACCTGATCTGGTAATTTCTGCCTTGCCTAAGGTGAGAATTGAACAGTATCAAGTGAGGTTATAAAGAGTATGGAACCTGAACTTGACCTGAAATCAAGAATCAGATGCTTAACCAACTGAGCCACCCAGGTGCCCCTCCTCCTCAGACTTTTATGAGTGCAGGTTCCAGCTCTTTCTAGGACCACCAATCCCACCTGTCTCTCGGTTTGTTAGTCTCTTGATGGTTTGTCTTCTTGGTTCCCGGCTGTGATCTGGAGTTGTTGGGGCCTTTGTTAAACTTCCCAGGATTGTGAGACTCATTATTTTATTTGTGGTCTCTGGGTGGGATCACAGGACTTTGGAATGGTGACTTAAGGTCACAGGAGTCTGGGCCCAAAGCCTCATGGAGTGGAATGTGGAGGGGGAGGGGATCAAGGGCCCTATAGGGAAAACAGCTCTGGGAATGGAGCTTTCCAAAGCTGAGCCCTTGTCTCTATTTCACAGTTTTCGGGTTATTCCTTTTGGGCCCTCTGAACCTTGAAGTGTGTGTTAAGTATATGGGATCTTGGATGTGTAGGCATTAGGGATGTGTGTGCTCCTTCCAGTCTGTGTGAAAGTCGGGCCCTGCCCCGTCCTGAGGCATGGCAGACTGTCCTGTCTGCTCCACCTGCAGGTCCATCTTACCAACATCCTGCCTACACTGAATCCAGATGACCTGGGCTGGAATTCCACCTCATTCAGTTACTATATAACTCTCTAAGACAAGTTACATAACCTTGCTATGCCTCAGTTCCCTCACTTGAAATATGGGAACAATAACAGTTCAATGTAACAGTTTAACAATAACAAAATGGGGGAGAGGGCGCCTGGGTGGCTTAGTTGGTTAAGCGTCCGACTTCAGCTCAGGTCATGATCTCACGGTTCATGGGTTCGAGCCCCAAGTCGGGCTCTGTGCTGACAGCCCGGAGCCTGGGGCCTGCTTCGGATTCTGTGTCTCCCCTCTCTCTGCCCTTCTCTTGCTTGTGCACGCGCTCGCACTCTCTTTCTGAAACGGTAAATAAACAACAACAGCAAGAAGGGAACCAACCTCATAGGACTGCCAAAAGGATTAAATGAGATGATAGTGAATAGTACAGGGCCTGGTACGGAATAAGTGCCATATAAGTGCTTGCTGCTATTATATGACGGTGATGATGATGATTGTTACCCTGAGGGTGTCAGCAGCCCCAGTGTCTCTGCCAGGGATCCCACTCTGCTTCTTGTCCAGGGTACCCTTCCACTTTCCATCTCTTGCGCCCCCTCTGCATCAGGTACTAGGCTAGCAGCCTTACCAGCTTCTGCACGTCTCATGTCTCCACTTGGATCTAACTCACCATATATTTTATTTTACATTAGTTACATTGTTTACATTTATTTTATACATTGTCTTCACCCCTCCTCTCCACCTACCAGAATGTAAGCTCCATGAGGACAGGGATTTTCACCTGCTGTATTCACTGCTATGTCCCCGGCACCTTCCACAGTGCCTGGCACACGGTAGCTGGCCAATGAATATTCATGAATGAATGACGCTATTATTTTTTTTTAATGTTTTATTTATTTCTAGGAGAGAGAGAGAGACAGCGTGAGCAGGGGAGGGTCAGAGAGAGAGGGAGTCACAGGCTGAAACAGGCTCCAGGCTCTGAGCTGGCAGTCAGCACAGAGCCCGACGCGGGGCTCGAACCCACGAACTGTGAGATCATGACCTAAGCGAAAGTCGGATGCTTAACCGACTAAGCCACCCAGGCGCCCCTAATGACGCTATTATTTTTAATTTAATGTTATGTATAGCATTTACCATGTGCCAGGCACCAATATAAGCACTTTGTAAATATTAACGCACTTAATCTTCATAGCAGTTCCATGAGATGGGTACTGTTATTGTCTTCATTTTACAGAGGAGGAAACTGAGACAAAGAGGTATTAAGTAATTTGCCCAAGGTTGCACACTAGTGCATGAGAGAGTCAGGGTTTGAAGCCAGAGAGTGGAGCTCTAGGTTCTGTGCCCTTATCCACTCCACTATGACCCAAGGAAAATGTGGGCCAGGGGAGGCTCCGTGTGTTCCACTTACCTTTGGGAACTTCTGCTACCTACAGATGCCCTGTTATAGATCATCTGTGGGGAGGAGGGGGCAGACTTTGCCTGCAAGACTGAGCCTTCTCCACTCCCCTGTCACGGGGTCTCACTTCCACACCTGCTGGATGGGGCTGACTGCTGGGGAGGTTATTTGTCCTCTCCCGTCTCCCTGTTTGCTGTGTCCCCAGGAGCCAAAGATATCCATGCATGTTTCACATAAAGGGCCTCTGTTTACCCTACCAATGTCTCTGAGGCTGTTTTTGTGCCAAGCCCCAGGGCCCCCAGAGATGAAGCCCCCACAGCTCTCTCTTCATGAGTGTGTTTGTGGCCTGAGCTTGACCACTCCCTAGAGTTACATTGAGAACCTCTCTTCAGACGCTACACACATTCTTGTGGCTTTAACGGGCATGCATATGCTGGCTCCAAAATCTGTATCTCCAGCCCCAGATTTTCTCCTGAGTTCCAGACCTCTGAATCCACTTCTAGAGGTACCCTCCAGAACATCCCCTCGTAGGGGTCCCGTAGATACCTTAAATTCAACATGTTCTGAACAAGATGCATCGTGTCCCCTTGGGAATCTGCTAAACTAGCTTCTGCTCCTGTTTCCTCTCCATGTAGGTTGCACCTGGTCATGTGTGCCATAACCCTGGTCTTGAATTTCATTCTAAAAGTGATGGGTCACACAATTTGTCAGGATGAGCTCCCTAAAAATACTAGAAGAAATACGGGCAAAATCCTTTATAACTCTAGGCCTTTCCAACTCCAACTCAAAATTCAGAAGCTATAAAGGATTAATATATTTGTTTACATGAAAAAAATTTGCATGGCAAAAAAAAGACACACATCAAAGCAAAATCAAAAGACAATAAACTAGGAAAAATATTTGCAATTCTTATCATATACAGAGGGTAACCTAT